AAAGAAGTTTACGTAAGGAATTAATAACGGATGTAATTTCGTCCAAGTTCAATTTCCATTGTTATAAAAAGACCTACATCAAATGTTTCATTCAGACGCGAATAAGCAGAAGCATCATTGACAGCTGTATTTAGTATGTGAACATGAAAAGCCAGTAAATCTACATGGAAATTAATTAAATTGTTTGCTTAAATACCTAGATCACAATCTTTCGTAGAGATGTATTCTATCGCATCAGTACAAAAGTCGATGAAAATTATTAGCTATTTGTACTTTTGAATTTTTTTATTACTTCTTAAATATCTCGATCTTCTTTGAATTGAACTTGGTAACTATTTAGAATTTTTTTTTATCTTCAGTAACATCACATATGATTTGCTCTGCAGAGAAACAAAGGAACAAGATTTAATAATTAGAAAACGAATCTAAAAATTATAGAGAAAAAAGCAATAGCTAATAAAAAAATGAAGAAAATAGGAAAATGAGAAAGAAAAAGATATACCGTGTCTGCAAATAGTACATTATTTCTTCAATTCTTGTTAAAAAGAGAAAAGATTTAAAGTTATTTTAAATTATTTAAACACACACAGCATCAACTATGGCATTACAAACCATTTGTAAATAGCTAATTTTTTTTTAAATTTTATTTGGATTTGTTCTTGTAAGTTTGGAAACAAAATTCTCATTTATGTGATTATAAAGCAGTCTTAAGCTGCCTTTGCTGCGTAATGGGACCATTTACTGTGGAAAAAAAACGAATGATGACGCACTGCAGAGTAATGATAATGAGGAAAATTGATTGCTATGTCAATCTTAGATAACATAGATTTAACTATATCATTATGATTGTGAAAGTGCACATAAAATATGCATCGTGCAGCATCGCTGAAACGGTAATAGTAGCATATTCTTGATCAGATTTGGATTGTTGTACTAATTTTAATATTCGCTTTTGCATCAAAGAAGGCATCCATCTGGTGGCTCCTTCTCTCTCTATCTATCTATTTATAAATATCTATATATCTATATAGATATATAGATAGATAGATAGATAATTCCGATATAGTAGATTCACTAAGAGATATTCAATGATCTTGAGAGTGTAACAGTCGATATGCGGGACCTTCTACACTAAATAAAAATACTTAATTATACACGAGGAATAATATAAAATCGAATGAAGTATTCGATGAAAATGCATTGCTAAACGATATTGCGAGTTAGTTCATCAAACTCGAAGAAATAAAAACGCAGCACTATTAACAATGGTTCAAATACTCTCTTTATATACAATTATGCAATCTTTCTTCGAATCAAACATGATATTTTTGTCCAAAATTTTTGGATCGTTCATGTTCTTGTGTACCTTTAAGATTTAATTTCATCATATTTTTCTTTTAATATTCTATTTCTCAACACATAACAAAAGTTCATCGATGAATTAGATATATTATAATGCGTTGAGAATTAATTCTCTTTTTCAAAATAACTCGAAACGTCCCCCCCCTCCCCTCCCAATTGCTTCTGCGAAGCAGTTTCAATATTCTAAAAACGAATTAGAAAAATACTTTTTTTTCTAGACATCTCGCGTGTATAATATATATTCCATAGTATAAAAACAAAAGTTAAAGATTTTATTTTATAGCATTTCATTATAGCGTTCTAAAATAAGCAAATAATAAAATCAACTCGAAGATGTAATATTCTCTAAGTTTTCCAGATCTGCTCCGCATGTATTTAAAATCTATCAAGCTTTTTAAAATATGTTGACAATAGGTATGACATATACTCGGTATACAATGAACTTATCATACCGATATCTCGTTAATTTTTACAATCAATTTACACAGAACATCTGAACATATCGATCAATTTTCAATTTTGAAAAAAAGATCTCACGAATCTTCATGTCATGATCGGTCGATCTCGATTTAAGAGTCTCTATTCGAGATTCATGCGAATCTGATCAGTGCTTTAAGTCAGATTTTTGCGCAATACTCAACTCTGCAATTTTCATTGCAGCACTATGTGACGTCATCTTCATCAATCAAGAGAATAAAGTTTAGTATTATAATTATATCTTCACCTTAATGTTCGACGTGTGAAAATAATTTATATTTACACATTATTCAATACAACTCGAAGTGGATATTCTCGATGCAGAACCATCAAAAATAACAGATATCATTCTTGAAGCTCAAAGGGTTTCTTTAGGATCTCTTTCTCGAAAGAAACCCTTTTCAGTCTTGCACTCCCTGATAGTAACGGTCTTTAGATTAACTGTAACGTCCGTGATAAACACTTGATCCGCCACGGGGTTTCTCGCATGCCAATAATCCGTGCCGGGACTTGTAAGCGGAACATAGATTTCTGACTTTGGAATCTCAGTTTGCTTGACATTCAAACTATTGTTGTTATTGTTGTTGTTGTTGTTGTTATTAGGGCTGTGGTGTCCATTCACGACAGTAGGTAACCTATTGTTATTGGTGTAAGAGTCCGTAGGACTGGGTGATTTGTGACCGTTTGCTTTGTCAGCAGCCGTGACTGCACCGTTTGATTTATCCTGCTTCTGCTCTAATAATTGCTTCTTCTTCGTTGCGGATTGCTCCAAAGGTGTATCTATTTGAGGAGACAGCGGTGCCAGCGGTGCCAGCGGTGCACGTGGAAGAGATGGTGGTGGACCGTGAGGTACGTCAGCTTCGGGACGCTTCTTATCCTGTATTGCCGGCGCCGGCGTCGTCGGAACTGCTGGTAGAGGTTCTTCCGGCGTCGATTTCAAGCTAGAGGATGATGGCCTTCTTTGATTTTGACCGTTAGCTTTATGACTCTGTAACAGGATTGTTGATCTTGTTTTAGAAAATATCACTCAGTCGCGATGCGACTGTTGGTCTGGTATTTGTAACTATTTCTCTATGTTCATCAATACTTCTAGTTTCCTAAAAGTTAATGACAAATCAGATATGCAAGTTACATAAACTTTGTATATATTAAGCAGAGGTTTACTTGGCTAGTACAACATTAGTTAAAGTGTTATCGACATTTACTTTTAGAATTTTTATATGTGCGTATAAAGAATTTTTTTTATAAACATATAGGAACTTTTAGCAATTTCGTAACGTAATAATTTGATTACAATATTTCAATGTAGTAATAAGTAACAATACGCTCTTATAATTATCAGAACTTACATGATAAGATGGAGTTGTGGAATTGTTTTTCAAGGGTAATAATCGAGGAACTTTGTTTGGGGGCGGACTACCACTGCCACTACTAGGACTGCTCGTAGTAATTGTTACTCCAATCTTGCCGGATTGACTAAGAACTTCTGCCTTCCTCTTCATACGTTCTTTTCTCGGCAAAAGGGGAATGTCCATACTGCTGTTTGAACTGTCAGAATCGACGCTGAACGTTGATACTAATTCTGGCGGTGTCGGAGATTCATGGCTGTCTAAGGAACTTGGAAGTGTGTCCTCGTCGGGGGCTACTGAATTTAAACGAGGAGCCGAAGTGCTGCCCGTTGTTGATTCATCTTGACTATCTTCACCTACCCTTTCGTCTCCGCCGGGCTCCTCATCGACGACAAGATTAGACAGTTGTTCCTAAAGATGGAGATTGTCAATTAAGAATTGTGTGCAAAAAAAAGCATCCCTAATCCATTTTCGATTCTGTAGCTCAAGGTATGACTGTTTTACAGAATGAAGAAAGATTTTATGAATAGCTATATCTAACCAAAAAGAAAACACCAACATAAAATTCATCAAAATACTAAGCTATTAAAACAATTCGGTATAATGTGAAAGTGATAGATAATCTTTTGAGCTATCTTCGCAATTCAAAATATAACATCATATACAAGATGTATGTGTAAATAATCATCGTTATTACTTGCATCGACAATCTTAAAGTTAAACATTAAAATATTTAAAAATAAAATACGTTTTATATTCATGATGAATAAAGCCATCTTTAAAAGGGAAAAAGAACATAATAACGTAATGACATAACGTAATAAAAATTATAATAATGATGATAATTTTTTTGCAATATACTTATTAAAGATAATTAATGCTCAAACAACCAAAAATGCCCGAACAAAAAATAGGCTACACTACACATAAACTATATTTATAGTCAAATATTATTAAAATCAACGCAACACAATTAATTGAATGCTCGTGCTTTGTTAATGTAATTTAGTGCAATTCAAATCAAAATATTCTGCAATCTATTTAAAGTAAATATATCTATGTAAAGCAAATATATATCGCTCATTCTTACGTTGTATCTAGTATCCCTTCGCCTCGGCCTTCTGGTGGGCACTTCACCCTTTTGACTTTCCTCATACAGTTCAATTAATCTAACATCCAAGATATTCTCTTCTGGTTCCCATGTGTTGTATCTGAAATAATAAGAAAAATCATAAATTCCGGACATTATTCTATCTAATAACAGATCTCCAATTTCATACTCACTTTTTGCTCCATCCTTTCCATTTAACAAGATATTCGATCTTGCCCTAAACAAGAAAAAGAGTAAAATCTATTAACGATTGTCAATAATAATTTTCAACATGCATGTGAAAACACGTGTACTTTAATAAACGATGATTGAGAAATTAAATTATAAATTGCTCCGCGATAAAAATTCCACAGATATTAATTCAAACCGAAATGTAAGAGAATGAAGAGAAATTATTGAGTCGTTTAATACAATTACATTGACAGCAAACACGATAAACGTCACTGCATGGAATGACACGCGAGGAAACGTGCGCGAGTTGTCGTTTCATTATTCTCAATTATCGTGACGTCACCACGTGGATATACCTGTCCATTCGGGAGAGAATTGCGATCGAACCACTATATTTTTAAAAACATGAGAAAACTGTGGAGATCCGTACAAAACATAACAGATATATAATCGCGATTCTGCAATAGGAAAATAAAAGATTTTTCCATCTGTAATTATGAAAAACTGAAAGAACTTTCGAGAGGAGGATGTTTGTATTTTTTAGATTAGCATATATAACAAATAGTTATTTCTTATTTAAATTCTTTATTTCTTATAAATGTGTGTCAGCAAGAGTTATTCAAAATGTATATCTCAATTCAGTTTAATCGGTGAGTTTAATAATATTTTCAATTGCAAATGTAAAAGTGAATTGTAATATTAAACTAAATATATGTTATAATTTCATGTGTATTGAATAGAAAATACATTTGGATCTAAATTAAGTTTTGGTCATTTAAGCGGAAGCCAAAATAAAAAAAAAATAATAAGCCAAAATAATTTGTTAATCGCTTTTCAAATCAAATATTCATTGTTTTCAAATAGTTCTAATAGTTCAATAATTGAATGTAATATTTTTTGATTATAACTTTTCATACCTAATTTATAAAATTATAATTTGTTTTAAAGCACGAAATATCATTAATCGTTTCGGAGTAAAAATTTATTGCAATTAAAAATAATATATAACGATCAATTTATGTTAAAGATAACTTTAATAATTTTAATGATATACAGATCACTATATTTTTAAAAAATTGTATAGAAGGCTGGGGCAAAAAATTATGCCGTACATCTCGATGTATGAAAATAAGCTTTGTATACTTGGTTCTCTATGTAATTTCACTTATTTTTCATATCATTGAATAATTTTTAATTATTACTCTTGTAACATATTGCTAGCCAAAGAGATATTTATAGATAGAGACAGACTTTTGTTGTTGTATTTATATGCAAACTCCATATTTCATGACATATGACGTTCAACATTGTCCCTATACAGCACTGGCGTAGTCGCCATGTAACATGTAACTGCGTATTAATCACTTTCATATTTACTCATAATTTGATTTATCATTATCCCAATGTAGTTGTGCTAATAGTTGAGCTATGCTGAGGGGGATATCAACATCAGAATTACACCATTGCGTCCACGTGTTGCGCAACGTGCACCGGACAGATCGTTTGCCGATAAGATATGTCGATTGATCGATACGAGCCGACTCACCTATCAATAGGTGTAATTATAGGTTATCCTAATGCGATAATCAAGGCTCCTGAGTACTCAGCTGAGTACTCCGCGTTGACGGTAGTGACGTACCATCGTGGTGAAAAATAGAAGCTCATTCATCCTTATTCATTCTTATCCTTGTTTATCTTTATATATGACGCGCGGACAACAAAATTTCTTACTGCTGCTATTTTCGTTATTATTATTATCTTCTTAATCGTGCAGCGTGTATTTGAGTCGTAAAAATGGGCGGCAGCGAAAATTATCTTCGGACATTACATGTAAAAGCATTTTTTCCACTTCTTTCAACAGCTGTCAAAACTGGTGTTTTCTGCCTAAAGAGGTTTCATTTCATGTGTCTTTTATAGCTATTTATTGACTATCAGAAAGAGAAAGAATAGCAGCCGTCCATTTTCACAAGTGTCCTAAAGCCATATCAGGTGTTATTTTAAATATGTTATTTCAAATATTTATTCGCAAAACTACCGCAGTAAACTTTATTGTGTCATTTTTCGCCTATGACGTCACGATTGCGATATGGCCGCCTACATCGGGTTAATGCATACCAAACGCTGATATACATGAAATTATTCAAATGTAAAAATATAGTATAAATACTTCAAAACAATTAGATAAATAGTCAACAATGAATTTGTCACATTATTTAATTAAATATGAATTAATAATTTCATTATCAAATAACATTATGCTACTACATTTAGATATTTCATATATAGCAGTCTTTAATGTGCATTAATCCAGTGTAGTGGCAGTGAATCGAATTCGCTATTAATGCGACGCGAGAAACGCGGGTCGAGCGGTACACAATCATACACAATCGTACACAATCGTACACAATCGTACACAATCTCTCATACGTTTTGTCAATCGCTGGGCAGATCGAATCGTATGATTGGTGGAAGGTCGATTCGTCATCAGTTAACGAGTATCAGTTAAAGCCGGTCCATCAAAATCGCGCGCGAAATAAACAGGTTAGGTGCGTATTTATATTTCTGGATCGATAAATCTCTCTTGATACAAAACAAAAAGTACAAGAATGGTAAGAGAAAGAACTGATGAGGAACTGATCGAATAGAAAAGAAAAAAAAATAGAAAAAAGAACGATGAAAAGCATTGAGTTAGTTTAATATAATATTGAATTTACTAATACATAAAGTTGTTCGCATATCGAAAGCATATTCAAGGTGCAAGTGCTCATCTAAATATTCATGCGTTATGACTTGATTATTCGAGAAACCGCAACATTATTTCAGTGATTAAAAGTGTTAGTCACAATTTGACCTATCCATATTCGAATGCTCGCTCGTTCGCAAGCCTGTGCAAACTAATAACTTATTAATTATTGTGAAAAATTACAAAATGGTAAAGGATTTTTCTATTCGATATAACCCTCACCACTTACTTACAAGAGGTAATTATCGATGATTATTATCATTTATCTTTATAAAATATAAGAAAAAAATAAGCGAAACTTTAAAAATTTAAAAATATTTGACTATCACGTCACGTGAGCTTACATATTACTATATCATCTTATGATACGTACAAAAAGTGAGCAATATCGTTTCACTTTAATGTAGAAAGTATATACAATTCTCATAGCAAATAGCTAACATGTAGTAAATGCACAAAGAGAAGAGATTTTTAACTCGACACTGAAAATTGTGTGTGTGTGTGTGTGTGTGTGTGTGTGTGTGTGTGTGTGTGCGCGCG